AAATCATCATTGACCTCAGGAATAAATGCAGCATCCATTTGATAAAGCTTATCCCATTCAGTACCATCGAACCAAGGATGAACCTGAAAAAGGAATCAGCAGCAACGTAATTCCCATTATATGCAACAAGTTCATGAACAAATTGAAGAAATTTAGAACAGGACACACCATACAACACCTTTATTTCATCTGCCCCGTTTGTTCCCAACCTTTGGTTGACATTACACAAGAGTTTACTGATAAGATCTTTTGCCTCTGGAGATAGCTTTGCTTCTTCTGGAAACTTCAAGTGAGTTCTCCAGTTTACAATCTGCAAGAGACGGGCAAGACAGAAAACATTATTGCGCAAATAGTCGGTTGCAGACAAGTGTGGTTCGCTACAGTTAAAACACAAGTGGCATCATCAAGAGCGTGTCATGTCGAGTCAGGGGAGTCTACAAATGTCCCTAGTCATATAATTAGTTATCAAAAAGAACCATAGTACATCAACTTCTACCACAAAGGAAGCCATGGAGGTGAGCAGGGCTTAGGATATGAAGCATTTAAGCTCCAAAATTATGAAAACAATAATTAAAGAGGGAGAAGGGGACGTCAAAGTTTCATTAATGCAACACCGAATGAGAGCAATTAACTACACTTCACCAAAGTGCACAAACAATCCAGGAACCAGTTCATTATTAAAATCAAACACATGCATTGGAATCTACAAATTGAAGGATGCAGATTGATTAACTAAATTTTCAGAAACACATAAGCTCTGTAAATGATGAAAAGAGATGTCACAAGCCAAAGAGGCATGCCCTCGGAAATTATGCTTGAGGCTTTTAAAAAGAGAATATATTGAAATAAAATGTTCAATATTTCTAAAATTTACCTTCCTGCATGTTGACATCGGATCATCAGAATAGAAGGGTGGGTAACCCACAAGCATTTCATACATAATGGCACCAAGTGACCACCTGCTCATCGACGAAAATCATAACTTTGTCAATCCAGGCATCCAAAAACAAAGTAGCTCTTCAGTTCGTTGTCCATAATAGTACCATGGTATGTACCAATTTCCAAAATGGTCCCATTACAATATGAATGGTAGTAAAAATGGTGAATGCTAGGTCGTTGAAAAAAAACAACCAATTGCTAAAATGCATAATACTCACCAATCGCATTCCATCCCATAACCTTTTTTCAATAGAACTTCTGGAGCAATATAGTCAGGTGTACCAACAGTGGAATAAGCCTGCAGTGGCCGTATATCAAAAATTAAAGGAATGATACCTTCACAATGTTCAACCAAAAGCTCATGAATGGCAATGTTATACATCCAAAAAGAAACAGTTCCTCTTTTATCTACACCACAGTCATTGCACTAGAAAGTGAGGAGGCCGTGGGGAGGTAGGGAGAGATAACAGTTCCTCTTTTATCTACGCCAGAGTCATTGCACTAGAAAGAGAGGAGGCAGTGGGGAGAGAGGGAGAGATAATTTAATTGCATAATGGTGTATAACTTACAAGCATTCTCCTATTCTTCTGCCAATGTTGCAGTTGCTCTTGTTGTGTTCGTTTTGGAGCTGCAGGGCGTTCATCATTCTGTGGACCACCATTAACATTGGGTGCTATTGAAAAGTCTTCTCGGATTGTACTGCAGTCTAAAGGTTTACACAACCCAAAATCTGACAGTCTTAAGTGTCCATATCTATCAAGTAGTAAATTGTCAGGCTTGATATCCCTGCAATATGCAAAACAGACTACGTTAACATCCATTTTTGCAGTCCAATAAATTGTATTATTTAATCTGTCAAAAGAGTCAGTGTTGATATTGTACCACAAACCTGTGAATGTAATTGTGTTTATGGATAGACTCAATAGCCAAAACTGTTTCGGCAACATAAAATCTAGCTTCATCTTCAGTCAAAATATCCTTTCTCATAAGCAAAGTCATCATATCTCCTCCAGGTAAGTATTCCATTATAAGATAAAGAAACTCATCATCTTGAAAAGAACAGTACAGCTTCACAATGCAATTGCTGTCCACCTCAGCAAGCAAATTCCTTTCAGCTTTGACATGCTCAACCTAAAAAGAATGTACTATAAGTCAACTGACAGTAAATACAGTTTAAATCACCCCAGTAATTCAAATGGAAGAACAGTTGACTAAATACCTGGCCTCTACGAAGCATCTCTGATTTCTTGAGCTTTTTCATGGCATAAACAGAACCAGTTGTCTTTTCCCTGCAGACACGAACCTGCACCATAAAAGCAACATTTACTGGTTAAAATCTCATATCAAACTCATGAGACGAAATTCCCACCCCGTGGCTGCTGGGAGGCTGAAAGTGAAAACATAGATCTGATAAGAAGATATATACCTCACCAAATGCACCCTTGCCAATCATAGTCAACAACTCAAAATCATCAACACCCATTTTATGCCTCTGAAGGCGCATGTATTCAGTTTCTTTCTTCTCCAAGAACTTAAGAAGGTTGTTTTGATCTTCCTCAGAGACATCAGCATCAGCCAACTTTTTTTCTAACATATTTCGTCTGCCCCAGAAAGTGTAATTACCAATTAGAAATCATAAAACCACTAAAACTGGTTAAAATTTTGTTTCACAATAGCCTTATAAGAAAGGATCACAATCTGCATTGTAATTACCAATTAGCAATCATCAAACTTGCAAACTCAGCTCCCAATACTTTTTGGGCGTTACTAATTCTGAAAAAAAAAAAAAAAAAAAAAAGGCAAAAGTATCAAATTATTATCTACCTTTCCTTCCTCTCCTGGAGGTTCTTCATCTGCTCCTTGTAATGGTTCTCAATATACTGCTTGGCCGCAGCAGCCTTCTGCTTGGTCACATTGGAAAGCGCTTCCTCATCGGTATTCGAATCATCCTCGCCTCCACCGCAAGGCTCCTTCTTCCTCGTCGAGCTCCTCAGCTTATCGCGCGGTTGAAGCTTCTGAAGCCAACTTCGTGCCGAATCCATCTCCCTCCTCACAATGCAGAGCCTAATGTGACCAGATAGCACCACACCATGCCAAAAGCCGCAATGTATTTCTTCAATTGCAAGCCATCTGTATTGTAGCTAGCGACTATCACAATTCACATTGAACGCAAAACATTGCCTGTAAATCAAGCATTGCAAGAATGAAACTTTGGAACCAAAAATTTCCCAATCGATCACAATTGACAATGACAATGGCCAGCGAAAGAAAGTGAAGAATGTGGAAAGATTCTTGGGAACAAGACAGATGGGGCTGAGAATTCGGGTTACCGCGTAAAATTAGCGACAGGCAGAAAAAGAAAAGAGAATGTGATCCGCGAAACCCTAAAGATAGTCCGCCATTTTCGCTGGAGATTGAAATTGCGCTTGGGCTTTCGGGTCCGGAGCTTCAGAGAAACTCCGACGACTCTCTTTGCTTTGTTTTGTCGTCCACGTAACTCTCTTTCTCTCTCTCTCTCTGTTGTGCACAGCACAGAGAGAGACACCTTCCCTCCATTTTTATATTGATAGATATAGCTTTTCTGTTTTCCTTCGAATTTTCCATTTTGCCATTTTTAATAAAATAAAATTTTAATATTCGATTTTATTTTATTTTTTTGAGGGTGTTAGTTTCAGATTCGTTGGATCTCACGAGAAATTGATCCGCGAAGATTCGCTTGGGCGGCGCGCTTCCACGTTCTATGTATGTGTACAAGCCTTGCGCGGCGGGATGCACATCCTCTCTTCTCAAGCCCAATTAGTTTGTCGCCAAAGTAATTTTTTTTTTTTTAATTTTATTTTACAAGGCGTATTTGTATCCGTCAATAGGCAACCACAACTAGATAGGCATCCGTATTAGTTAAACCTCACTCTTCTAGAATCAAACCATTAAACCAAATACTAGTTGATATATTTCAATTTAAACTAATTTATAACTCGTGAAAATGTGATACACCTTACACGTCAAGTTTTTTGTTGTCTTTTTAATCTCCGAAAGATGAAAACTAAGACACCATACAAACTATAAGTTTTCATGGAAATTATATTAGTTGAAAGTGGATTAACATGAATTACCATATCCATAATCTTAACCATGGAAAATTGATAAAAATAAAATATAACCACACACACACACAAAAACAAAAAAGCCATGTTGAAAATATGCCCTTTTTTTTGTCCAGATAAACCCAACATTCGGAAAGGGCAAGTTGCAGACTTGTAGTCCCTTTAGCACAAAGGTTTCTTGCATTATGGGCCACATGCATGGGACCATCCTCAATCCCTTTGAGAATAATACATCAACCAGAAAGAAGAGCAGAGTGTAAATTAAGCTCACACAACCAACCACTACAAGTCCAAATCACTTCAAATGTTACTACCATTTACTGGAGAAGCATTGCCCTCAGAAAGTGACTGTAACAAGCAATTGGGCAAAACCAAAAAGCTGCCATGAGTTTCTCCAAATTATTATACTTTGTACTCTTGCACTTAAAAATTGTGTGCCTTAAAACTCCAACAAGTGTATAATACTCAATCACCAACATCAAATCAAACTCAAGAAGCTAACGGGTCTAGGCGAGTGAAAAAATGCCTTGATTTGCAAACCAGTAGTCTCATGTTTGAACTCCCGTATTACTTTGATAACGTGAGTGTATGAGAAACCCTCCCTCCACTTGTAGTATAGACTATTGCTTGTATTTGAAAAAAACAAAAGCTATGTAAATCACATGATAGCAACCTTCCCATCAACTGGCATGTAGATGCGTGAGGTGGTTCAAATATCTTTGTAGAAAATATCAACCTAGAGCTTTTCAGTTTAGGCATGAAGAGTACATAGTCAGCTAATCCACATAAATTTCAACAGTAAACCTTTTCTGCTCATTTTTATGCCAAAGGCAGAAATGATGTTTGAGAACAGATCAAATTGAGACTAACTAAAAGTTGAAGCTGTATTATCATTTGAAATGAATCTCTATTATAATACGAGTTTTTCCATCTGTTCACCTTTGGAGACATGCTAAGACCAACAGACTCAATTACTGAAAGTGAACGGTTTCACATACACTAAAAGAATGCTTCATACAATATCCTCAACCAAATCTAATATGAATCATGTGTCAGTCACATGTTGATGCTCCTATTATACGGCCCCTCTCATAAGAAGACTCCTTTTTTTACCTTTACCGTAAAATGGCAAAGCCATGCCAGGAAATAGATTGCAGACTGATCTTGTAACAACTTTCTTAGATAACAATGGAGTACAACATATCTGCCAAAGTCAGGCCATTGGGGCTTCACCTTGTAGCAACAAACCCGAAAGCTAGAACTGGGGATTCATCTTACTGCCACCCTTATTTCTACAATCTAAAAGAGGAAATCCTCCTTAACGGGGTCAACCGAGGAAGTATTAAAAAATTGCTGATGAATGAAATTGCTTTACTCACTTGCATATCTCACTTTGAATTTGAATGTTTATCTAGCAGCTTAACTGAAATCAGCGGTAATATGCCATGTGTCTTGATGACATAAATGGAGATGTAGCAAAAGGAGAGGTCTTTTGAGTTTGGGCAGGAGGATTTGTGGATTTCTTTTTCTCATGCTTGGTTTCAGCACGGAGCCAAGACTCAACAACAGAGAGCAGATTGGCCGAACTCTTCAACTCATTGACCTCCGATAACTTCTCAGCCCTCTTTAGCTCACCATCTTGGATGTAAGCCAGATGGGTTGCCCATGTCTCCAACCCATCAAAAATATGGGTTGCATAAACAATTGTCGCTCCTCTCTGCAGTCAACACAAAAATATGAATAAAACTATACCAGAGTAAGCAGGTTTAATGATGAGAGTATAAAAATATTGAAACTACTTAACCAAACAATTAAAAATGGACTCACCATGATATATGCAGCATGCAATGGGATGAAATAATATGCATCATATAATTTGTCCAGATGAAATGATATATGCAGTTTTCCCCATTTAAAGATCTTCCACATATCAGAACTGGAGTCTGTACATGCAAGTGAATATTATAACCGTAAATAAAGCAAGTCCGTACCTGTTCACATTCTTCCTTGAAGAAATCTAATAAGTCCAGTCTGGCAACAACATCCAAGTCGACCGTTACCTCATCAAGCAAGAGAACCTGGGATTTAACAGAATGATTCTAGTTAGAAATAGTTTCAAATGTCAACATAATCTACTTGATTTTTAATCACAGACGGACTTGGAATACGAAATGATACAGCAATTAGGTGGAGATTCCAATGTGCAGGCAATGGGGTGAAATATGAAGCACCCCTAGAACACAACATAAATACAAAATTGACCATTACAAAACGCTTCAGGGGCAAATTGAATGCAAACTATAGATCCTCATAAGCGTGCACTGAAACAGCCATTTCATTTTTTGGTACAAACTCATATTCAAGATTTCAAGATACCTTGAAAGGATGAAGAAGCCCCATGCAGATTTGGACTCGACGTCGTTGCCCATCAGATACTTTATGCATTCGCCACTGGAGGTTTATATCAAGCAGCTCAATCAACTTGTCTCTCCTAACTGGATCAGTCCCTTCAACTGCCAAAAATTGGGGGCAAACACAATTCAATTTCAATCGATTGAATTTCACCCTTATATGCGATGAAGAATGATCTACAAGCTCATGAATTGAGAAAATGGAACTAATAAAATTTGACATATGTTAAAAACAATAGATATGACAAAGAACCATTCGGTATCAACAAGTTACATAACATTATCCAAGAGCTTCAAGAGGTTGCATAGTTGAAATCATTCACTACACTATGTTTTTTGCGTGACCCTTCTACATTAAGATTATATTAAAATTTTATATGAAAAGGAGAAAAATGTAGCATGCCAGTCAAAATTACCCACCTCCAAATATCATATGTTCAGCTGAGAAATCTCCCTGCAATGGAAGTTCTCCCTACAAATTTCCAAAGACAAATTTATTTTCAGTTTCAGTCAAGGAAATGAAAACAAATTGGCTAAAATGCCTAAAATGCATGGCCATGATACCCAAATAAGCGAAATGCAAGTGCTTTTCAGCCTAAATAAACCGTTCAATTATGGCAGAGTTTGTTTAAGAACTCACAGCAGAGCCAACAGATTTACTCCACGAGCCTCCCAAGTAAGCTAAATCGCCGCTGCAAACCAAATGAGTGTCATGAAAAGCCGAACAATTTAAAACCCGCACCACATCTCTCCCTCCCACCATCTGCTTCCCTGCTAGAATCTTCAGCAAAGTGGTCTTGCCTGCAAAACTACCCAATTAGCTTCGAAATACAAATTTAACTGCTTTCCAGGAAATTGAGTTTCCGTGGAACCAAAGAGACCTAAGAAAAAGGCCAAACCAGTGAAACAAAGTTTGGTTTTCAATTACCAGATCCGTTGGCGCCGACGAGAAGGCATCGCGATCCGGGGGCTATGTTAAGGTTGAAATCGCAGAACAGCGGGGGTTGTGCATCGTACGAGAATTGCATGCCATGGACTCTAATACCGCTCGACGTCTCTCCTTCTCCTTCCGCTCTCGGATTGGAGGTTTCACTGACCCTGCCCGCCATGGTTGCTCTGCAAATCCTGTAGCACGGAGCTGATTGTGTTTTCTGTGGTCATTTTATGAATACGAGTTGGCCGATACTAATAGGGTGCCGACGGTGGATGTTGGTCCCACTGCTTGTGTACACGTGGCGGATAAATAGATAGCCACGTAACATGCTCTTTGCGGAAGGGATAAAATCTGGTGTATAAACGGCCACGAGTTTAGAAGTAATGGGCCAACCAGAGTTGGTCAAGAGCTGGTTGAAGTTCCCACCCACTTCACTTTTTTCAGACGTGGCCACAAGCTATTGGCTCAACTGAAAATTAAAGTCGTTATTAAGTATATGGATCTGGATTTGTTTGACGAAACGCTGGGTTTTTATCTATATATATAAAGCAAAAGGTAGAGAATGGTGAAACATTCAAAATACCAGAAAATGCCCTTAGTTAATGCAAATATTAAGAATTGAAATTATTAATTAAATGAGGATAATATGGTAAATTCATATTTTTTTATATTTTAAAAAATTAAAATTAAAAGAAAATTCGGATAATGGATTCTATTTTTATGGAAAACAACTACCAATTATCTTTTTTAATTCTAAAATAAAATAATTTTTTTTTAAAAAAAAAGGTCTCTCACAAGCGCGGAAGCGCATGGGGAGAGGCTAGTTTTCTTTAAATAAACTGAGAAAGTGGAATTTTAGACTCTTTCAATTTTAAAATGAGAAAGAGTATCGCCGAACGGCTATACTATTTATTTTAAAAAATATAAAAGGACCCAGTATAGCCGTCCGGCTATACTCTTTATGTATATATATTATAATTAAAAGGTATGCCGCAGCTATATTATTTATTTTAAAAAAAGGGACCCGCCTAGCCCCTATTATCTATTTACATTAGTTTATACTTTATAAATATTAATTTGCTAGTTTCGATATATATACTTTACAGATTAAATGTTTTTAATATATATATTATTTTTATTGATGGAAAATGCTTTGGAAAAGTAATTGAAAATGCTCAAAAGGGTACAATAGAGACTCATATAAAGGCCTAATAGTAATGCTCTAAACTATCGATAAACAAAAATCTGGGAAAAAAAGATAATAGTTTCCATGTAAAGAGTATAGCCGTGCGGCTATACTATTTATTAAAAAAATTTAAAAAACCACAGTATAGCCGGGCGGCGACACTCTTTTTATAAAAAAAATCCCGAGTATGGCCGCGTGGCTATACTATTTTCATTAGAACAGTTCAAATCTGGCTCAGAACTAAGCACTACAAGATGCTATCTGGTTAATTTAGAGAAAGAAAACGAGAGAAGAAAAATGGAATTTGGGGGGTTGAGCTCGAGATTGTTGCTCTGCCACATGTTCCTTGGTTGTTCAAACTCCCAGTTCTTTCTCTTCTTTCTTTTTTAGTTTAGTGACTAATCCAACAAAATTAATTTAATTTAATACATGCTTTTATGGGAAACCAAGATAGTTAATTCTTGGTTGTGTATATAAATAGATAGCTTAGTCAAATTGTCATGTAGATATGAAATGACAAAAATTAAATGTTAAAGTTGCTCCAACCGAGTAGTCAAATTCTACATGAATTTGAAGGCTATAACAGATATAACATATCAAAAAGCTTGATGTCAAATATTATTATAATATTTTTTTAGTCATGGACTTCACTATCATTTACTTCCTTTTAAAATTTTATGCATTATATGGCCCCCAATTATTTTTAAAAATATAATAAAATAATACAATTTTTGGCATTTTGGGTTGAGTTAAATTTTTTCACAATGAGTCTAGCATAAGGAACACACCAGGAGATTGTATAAATTTCAGTTTGTGTTTAGGTTTAAAGTATTAATAGAACAACATGTCGAGGCAATATGGAGAATTGGAGAAAATTTCAAACCACACCATTTATAATATGATTCATATTCCTCCTCAAATAACAATATAGTCTATCATAAAACATATAATTTTTTCTTTTATTTATAAATAAATATTTAAAAAAAAACTACATCTGACTGTATATATAGCCAGTCAATGAATTGGTAATTGCGTAGGCAAGAACCTAAGGCATATAAACCCTAATATCCCCTCAACAAGAGCCTTGATTAATTGATCTAGGAGAAAAGTATCCTAAACGTGAAGGGAACGGTAAAAGTGAAAGTTTATCGTTTTCATTCGACTCGTTGTTTACAGTTGCCTCATAAATGTCTTCCTATTTTTTAGAATAAGGGCATAAGGAGAATTGTTGATGATCCTGCAAAAACATAAGTCACGTGTAAAGTGCTATGTGAATTGATCAATTATAATTAAACATCTCATGTGTTTTGAAAAAAATCAAATATTTTGTGCCTTAAGAATAAAGAAATAGAACCCATGTTAATCTTAAATTTTTTCTAGGGCTACAATGAAAGGGCAAACTCTAGCTATTGATGCCAATCAATTTGCTCATTAAACGGTTTAAAAAAAACTGGATCTCCTTTTGGGAAGACTAATGATCAAGTAGTAGTCGTTTCAAAAAAATATATATCAACTAGTAGAGTAAAGACAAGGATGATTTTGCAGGGGCGGGTAAAGTTAGGAAACTGGGGTATTCATTGTAAATTGTTCTCCTTTAACCTTTTTTTATGGCAAACCAAAAATCACCTGATATATGACCAGTGCTGAGTATTTCAATACACAAAAATTCGGGTATATGGTGAATGTTCTTAACTAATTGAGGTACATGTCGAAATGAACTATACTCATACCTGCTCTTATTTTGGAATCTGATAGTGATTTGGGTTTGAGAGGTGGTTTTTGCCTATCTATTTTTAACCTTTCTGCAACAAGAGGTTTGGCCGATGAGTTTTCACTGGCAAGACGCATAATCGCTTGAGCCTACAATGACAATATCTATGGGAATCAATATAGCATATAATTTTATATAATTATTCACAATTTGGTAAGATATAACATTATAATAAATTGTTTGAGAAAATTATTTTCAGGAAAAAGAAGTTGAACAGTCAAATATGTCGGTCACAACATAGACATCATGGATTTCAAGCTTTGGGCACATTATTATTTCCTGAAAATTAAAAATTTGTGTGCATTTCTTTAAACTATTCACCTTAGCAGGAATATTGTCATAGACATTGATAATCCTATCATAAAATATTGTAAGTTGTTCTGAAGTCCTGTTGGATTGATCATCACATCTGTGTATGTAAACACACAACAAAAATTGAAGAGGACTAATAACTTCAAAAGGGAAACTAATGTTATAACACAAGAAATAATTAGGGTAAAGATTTTGGCACTCCTAGTTTAGCTTATAGAAATTCAATTTAATTCCTTTTAAAGACTCTCAGTGGATGTTCCAGAAGCATAAACGGAGAGTGCCAACATCGCTACCCAAACATAATAAGCATATATAATGACGAATGTAAGGAAAACATACCGCAATCAAGGAAACAAATGTTGCTTTAGCAAAGATAGCCGGTGTCCTGGGAAATTATTACTACCAAGAAATTTATGTGGTAATAAATGGCGGGGTGATGAATGCCTTTTGATAATTTCTTATTCAAATTCAGCTTCCATCGGGGTTTTGGCCACGTTATTTTGACTTCTTGTAAGAAGATACTTTATGAAGAACCAAACACTTTGAGACATATTTCTCTTCATCCATTGATCTTAAGCTGATGTCTCTTTGCTGGTCATCTGGGGTCCTTGTAACTTTTTAAAAACCAAAACTATTTTTATTTTCGTCTTCTCCATACAATTCTTGGTCAGTTTTCATGAAGAAGTCCTTTGGTATAATTGGAGTGCTACAAGCCATGATACATATATGTTGCTCTCTCCCAACTTATTCCCAAGAAGTGAACAGAAGTCTTCAAACATATGTATATATACACACTTGAGAAAGAAAAACAAAATTGCTGAACACCGAACACATATAAAGGAAATGAAAATTATATATATAGCCAAATTCCCATCATCCCATGACTAGCACAAAACTGAAATGGTATACAAGAAACCCCTCAAATATTACTCTGTGTCGAGGACAAAGATTGGTTGTTTGAAGCAGAACAGGTTCAAGGTGACTTAACCTGCATGGTGCTCATTGACAGTTTGGCAGCATCCACAGGACGTAAGTCCCTGCCAATATCTTTGTTAGTAGAGGAGTCAAGGCTACCGCCCCAAGAGTTGTGCATACCGTCATTACAATAGACAGAGGAACATCCCCTCGAGCAATTAAGGTCACCTGAAAGGCTATTTCATAAAAAGCATTGAATGGAGTTGAATAAATGGCGGTAGGCGGGGGCTAGGCGGGCTAGGCGGGGGCTAGGCGGGAGCTAGGTGGGCTAGGCCGGCTAGGCGGTCTAGGCGGGCGCTGGAGAGAGAAAGAGAGAGAGAGAGAGAGAGGAACATCCCCTTGAGCAATTAAGGTCACCTGAAGGGCTATTTCATAAAAATCATTGAATGGAGTTGAATAAATGGCGGTAGGCGGGGGCTAGGCGGGCTAGGCGGGGGCTAGGCGGGAGCTAGGTGGGCTAGGCCGGCTAGGCGGTCTAGGCGGGCGCTGGAGAGAGAAAGAGAGAGAGAGAGAGAGGAACATCCCCTTGAGCAATTAAGGTCACCTGAAGGGCTATTTCATAAAAATCATTGAATGGAGTTGAATAAATGGCGGTAGGCGGGGGCTAGGCGGGCTAGGCGGGGGCTAGGCGGGAGCTAGGTGGGCTAGGCCGGCTAGGCGGTCTAGGCGGGCGCTGGAGAGAGAAAGAGAGAGAGAGAGAGAGGAACATCCCCTTGAGCAATTAAGGTCACCTGAAGGGCTATTTCATAAAAATCATTGAATGGAGTTGAATAAATGGCGGTAGGCGGGGGCTAGGAGGGCTAAGGGGGCTAGGCGGTCTAGGCAGTCTAGGCGGTCTGGGCGGGCGCTGGAGAGAGAGATAGAGAGAGAAACGAGGATGACGGCGGTGCTATGAGGCGAGACAGAGAGAAACGAGGATGACGATGGAGTTATGTTTAGGGTTTAGAAAAGGGCCGCGCGGCTATACTATTTGTAAAAGATAAAAATAAAAAAAGACCCTAGTAAAGCCGGTCGGCTATACTGTTTTTTTTAAATCCTGAGTATAGCCCACCTGCTATACTATTTTTTTTTAAAGGGGACTCATAGCGCCCAATCAGCAGTGTATAGCCGCCCGGCTATACTAGTTTTTTAATAATAAAAAACCATTCTATTTGCATTAGTTTATACTTTATAGATATTAATTTGCTAGTTTCGATATACATACTTTGTAGATTAAAATTTTTATTGAAAATTAAATCAAGTGTATTAAACATGAAAAATACGTACGTACGTGTAAAATACGAGTATTAAACATGGAAATGCTAAATTTTTTATACAGCTAATAACTTTGGAAAAGTAAAAACTCAAAAGAGTACAATAGAGAATCATGTAAAGGCCTAATAGTAAAGGAAAATGCTCTAAGCTATCGATAAACAAAAATTGGGGAAAAAAGATAATAGTATCCATGTAAAGAGTATAGCCGCTCAGCTATACTATTTATAAAATAAATTGTATTTTTATATATAAAAAAAGGCTATACTCTATATTTTTATATATAAAAAATCCCGAGTATTGCCGCTCGGCTATACTATTTTCAGTAGAAGAGCTCAAATCTGGCTCGAAACTAAGCACCACAAGATGTGCTAGAGTAAAATAGGATGTGTGACCTCAAACGACATTGTTTTAGACTATTAGTTAACAATATCTTCACATAAAAAATAAAACAGAGAATCTGAACTCCGAGAAACTTAGAAAATGCTACTGCTATCACTTAACATCAACTGTAAGAGACTAATGGAGACAAAAGGATACATATCTCCAAGGACACCCAGACTGCTGCTGCCCATTGTATTCATACTCACAGTAGATATTGCCGGGTTAGGGAAAACTTCGCAAGGGTGCTATAGTTGTCACTTAACCTCAACTGTAGGAGTCTCTTTGGAGTCAGAAGGATCTACATATATCTCCAGAAGAATGCCAGACTGCTTCCCATTATATTCATAATCACAACAAACAATGCTGCGGGCAATGCAACCATCGGCGAGGTGAAATGAGAAGTGACCAAAACCACACCCGAAGAAGAATTTTGCAGACCAACCTGTGAGTGTCAAACATGTAAATGAAGGATTAGTGTTGCATGCCCACCAAAATTTATGAAAGTTTCAACATTTCAATCTGATCATAACACAATGAAGATCTTCTATGGACTTACAATAAAGTTTAAGAAGAGAATTTTTATATCTTTATTACCAATTTGACCAAAGCCGAAACAAAACTGGAACACAAGGATTCACAGAAAGCCAGATCATGTCTTAAGGTTTATATTCTATTTGATTAATACACATCAATTGATATTGCTCGTCTTTGTGCTTCTCTAAACCCGCAAACAGCTGCTGATATATACCTGCAAATTAAGACTCTCCTTGATCAAAAAAGACTCCTCAAGTTGCACATTTGCACCGCAAAAACTCCAAAACAAACTAAACAAACAGTCCCAGCACCACAACCTTAAAGAATATTTGTATGAGTGCAAACTCTGCCAACAATGCTCGTATGCAAAACAAGCTCCTATCTTCATATGTCAAATGAAAATCCACATAGACAAAGAAGAGTGAATATATACTTTCTTACTGCAAAAGCTTTTATGGCTATGAAGTCATTATGACATCAAACTATTGTTTCTCAACCGATGCTTACAAATTATGAATACTTTGTTGTTTCAAAGTATATCAAAGAGCAATAATACACTAATACAAGGCTACAACGCAATTTTTTTAGAATTTTTGAGGTAAAATTAGAGTGAATCTTTACATACTGAAAACAATGTATACATTACCTTGAGCTTTTTCTACAACAACACACTTAACAATTAAAGTCACCAACAGTTAAAGGCAACTTACCGCACAAAGAAACCAGCAATATGTACTAACAGCACAGAAAGAATAAACTGAAATGGTATACAAGAAACCCCTCAAATATTACTCTGTGTCCAGGACAAAGATTGGTTGTTTGAAGTTTGGCAGCATCCACAAGACGTAAGTCCCTACCAATATCTTTGTTAGTAGAGGAGTCAGGGCTACTGCCCCAAGAGTTGTGCATACCGTCATTTCAATAGACAGAGGAACATCCCCTCGAGCCATGACTAGCACAAAACTGAAATGGTATACAAGAAACCCCTCAAATATTACTCTGTGTCGAGGACAAAGATTGGTTGTTTGAAGCAGAACAGGTTTAAGGTGACTTAACCTGCATGGTGCTCATTGACAGTTTGGCAGCATCCACAGGACGTAAGTCCCTGCCAATATCTTTGTTAGTAGAGGAGTCAAGGCTACCGCCCCAAGAGTTGTGCATACCGTCATTACAATAGACAGAGGAACATCCCCTTGAGCAATTAAGGTCACCTGAAAGGCTATTTCATAAAAAGCATTGAATGGAGTTGAATAAATGGCCTTGACGGGCTAGGCGGGGGCTAAGCGGGCTAGGCGGTCTAGGCGGGGTCTGAAGAGAGAGAGAGAGGGGGAGAGAGAGGGAGAGAGAGAGAAACGAGGATGATGATGGTGCTATGAGGCGAGACAGAGAGAAACGAGGATGACGATGGAGTTATGTTTAGGGTTTAGAAAAGGGCCGCGCGGCTATACTATTTATAAAAAAAAATAAAAATAAAAAAAGACCCTAGTAAAGCCGTTCGGCTATACTGTTTTTTAAAAAATCCTGAGTATAGCCATTTTCAGTAGAAGAGTTCAGTTCTGGCTCAAAACTAATCACCACATGATGCTAGAGGAAAAGACAATAAGATTCTAGAGGTACATAACATATTAATGATAACATAGGATGCTTATTTATATTTGAAGTATCAGTGTGACCTCAAACGACATTGTTTTAGACTCTCCTTGATCAAAAAAGACCCCTCAAGTTGCACATTTGCACCGCAAAAACTCCAAAACAAACTAAACAAACAAGCCCAGCACCACAACCTTAAAGAATATTTGTATGAGTGCAAACTCTGCCAACAATTCTCGTATACAAAACTAGCTTCTATATCTTCATATGTCAAATTAAAATCCACATAGGCTTTATTTCCTTTTATACTTCTAGAACTTTGTAGAGATTGCTCCTCAAAATAGGTTGAGCTGGGGTTGATACTTTAACATGGCCAACATACATGAAATTTTGTCAGGCATGGCACTCATGGAATGAAGGCAGGGGTTTGGAGTTGGTTGATGAAGTATTGGCATATTCATATTCACCTTCAGAATCTCATGGATTTCTATTTTTGAAACCCAAAGGCATTGCATATGCAAGGGTCAAGTTTCAGATTGGCAAGCACTTGGAATTGCATGCGATTATATTGGAGTTTTGCCTCAGTTTAGGTGCACATTGATGTGCCCATTTTTTTCACAAACATGATCCAATTGGTATTTGGTATAACAAACACAAGCAACATATACAAGTTTTGGCATGCAGCTAGCATACCAAATTCACAAAACGGAAGTGGGGATAAATGGAACCAAGGTCCCAAGAAGGAGTTGTCCAAAAGATGCAACTCCCACACAAAACTCTCGTCTGGGGACTTAGGGGATTTCTATTTGTGTGGTAAAATACCTCTGACTGTATAAATAGCCAGTCAATGAATTGGTAATTGCGTAGGCAAGAACCTAAGGCATATAAACCCTAATATCCCCTCAACAACCTTAAAGAATATTTGTATGAGTGCAAACTCTGTGCCAACAATGCTCGTATACAAAACTAGCTCCTATCTTCATATGTCAAATTAAAATCCACATAGACAAAGAAGATTGAATATATATTTTCTTACTGCAAAAGCTTTTATGGCTATGAAGTCATTATGATAGCAAACTATAGTTTCTCAACTGTTGCTTACAAATTATGAATACTTTGTTTTTTCAAAGAAAAGTTAACTTCACTCAATAATTCATATATCGAACTTGACAGAAGCTAAATCAAAGAGCAATAATATAAGGCTACAACGGAATTTTAAAGGCAACTTACCCCACGAAGTAACCAGCAATATGTACTAAAAGCACATAAAGAATAACCACCCCAACTTCTCCAGATAACATTCTCAGAGACAGATCAGCCGGCAATGTTACAGCAACCATTGAAGCTTTGAGACGGACAACATTCTCAGAGAATACACTAGCCCACAAAATAAAATCTAGTATGTTTGAGAAAGAGAGCCCGTAGGTTTAGAGTAAACACTTGAGCAATGGAACAAAGAAGAAATAAGGGATCGAGGAGAAGAAAATATAGATCGAAGGGACGAAAGAAAGGACCGAAATCAGAGAACCGAGAAGGAAGAACAGAAATCACATAGTTTTAAGAGAAGGTTTACTCAATATCCAACTCTGAATTTTAAAGAACTACATGGGGGTATTTATAGCAAACTAAAACCTAGACATAATAGGATAAAAATCCCTTGCTTAAACAGAAATCCTAACCCAAATAAAATAGGAAACTTAAAACTAGAAATCTGGAAATCTGTAAAAGTAGAAATCCTACTAGAATTGGGAAAACTAGAGAATCTAAGAAACTAATAAATTTAGGTCATATGCATCCTGCATCAATAACATTATAATAAATTGTTTGAGAAAATTATTTTCAGGAAAAAGAAGTTGAACAGTCAAATATAGTAGTCACAACATAGACATCATGGATTTGAAGCTTTGGGCAAATTATTATTTCCTGAAAATTAAAAATTTGTGTGCATTTCTTTAAACTATTCACCTTATCAGCAGGAATATTGTCATAGACATTGATAATCCCATCATAAAACATTGTAAGTCGTTCGGAAGTCCTTTTGGATTGATCATCACATCTGTGTATGTACACACACAACAACAATTGAAGAGGACTAATTTCAAAAGGGAAACTAATGTTATAACACAAGAAATAATTAGGGTAAAGATTTTGGCACTCCTAGTTTAGCTTATAGAAATTCAATTTAATTCCTTTTAAGTACTCTCAGTGGACGTTCCAGAAGCATAAACAGAGAGTGCCAACATCGCTACCCAAACATAACAAGCATATATAACAACGAATATAAGGAAAACATACCGCAACTGTTGCTTAAGCTGATGTCTCTTTGCTGGTCATCTAGGGTCCTTGTAACTTTTTCAAAACCAAAACTATTTTTATTTTCGTCTTCTCCATACAGTTCTTGGTCTGTTTTCATGAAGAAGTCCTTTGGTATAATTGGAGTGCTACAAGCCATGATATATATATATATATATATATATATGTTGCTCTCTCCCAACTTATTCCCAAGAAGTGAACAGAAGTCTTCAAACATATGTATATATACACACTTGAGAAAGAAAAACAAAATTGCTGAACATCGAACCCATAAAAAGGAAATGAAAATTTTATATATATATATATATATATATATATAACCAAATTCCCATCATCCCATGACTAGCACAAAACTGAAATGGTATACAAGAAACCCCTCAAATATTACTCTGTGTCGAGGACAAAGATTGGTTGTTTGAAGCAGAACAGGTTCAAGGTGACTTAACCTGCATGGTGCTCATTGACAGTTTGGCGGCATCCACAGACGTAAGTCCCTGCCAATATCTTTGTTAGTAGAGGAGTGAGGGCTACTGCCCCAAGAGTTTTGCATACCATCATTACAATAGG